ATGCATGATGTATTAATACTCTATGTAGGGCTAAATATTGAACGCACAGTCATAGATTGTTTCAAGAATTGTGAAGGATATATAAAAGCTGATTTACTGTGCATTCAATTTAGGGCACTAGCATACAAGTGTGACTTCAAGGGAGTTCAGAGAAACAACCCACAAAGGCACATGCACTCAGATGGATGCACACTGGGCCCTGCAGCAGTGGGCAGAGAGCTCTTGTGCAGAGCAAGAGGACACTTGCACGGCAAAGCAACCAAATTGCTTGTCCACTTATCTCAAGCACTATCCGGGGGTCTAAAGAGAGCTGTCATAGGCAAAGTCTTTGATCAAAATGTATATGCTGAGGACCAAAAATTAAAAAGGCATAACTCAAGTTTTCTACTTACTAGGTCTAAGAAATGGCTCTCAAGTTATTAGAAGAGTCTCCTAGATAAGGCCTCAGGGTGCTCTAAATCAGAGATTGCCCTAGAAGCCAGAGCACCCTCATAGCTAGGAGTTGATTTACAAGACCACAGAGCCTGCAGAGGATACAACTACTAAGGCCCAGAGAGCTTGGGGCATAAGTTAGGAGGGCCCAAGGGAGGATAAAGGAAACAAATCTCTGCCTCCACACAACAGGATTCTGGAGGCTCCTGGCCAGAGAAGTCATAAGCCAAAGATCACAGCTGCAGAAGGCTTTTCTCAACATTTTTACTCCTCTCATCTGAGCAGGACTATTCTCTAGGATTACAGACAGCTGCTTCTGGGCCAAGAGGCTCTTAGTTCCCTCTTATGAACATAAACATGATGACTCTATGAAAACAGTAAAAGTGCCAATAACAAAATTAGCAGAGTTGATGGCAAGCAACGTTATGTTAAAAGGAGAGAGTAGAAGGCAAAATATGCTCCTCAAAGACATCTAGAACCCTGGGACTTGTGAATATGGTCCTGTGCCTTTGCAGAGGCACTAAGAAAGGTCTGGACAGGCTGTGCATGGTGGTGTGTACTTTGAATCTCACTACTTGGAAGGCAGTAGCACATTGCTATCTGGGACTCTGAGGACAGCCTGGTCTACACGGCCACTTCCAAGTAAGCCAGGTCAACACAGTTAGACCAAGTACAAACAAGACAAACGGACAAACAGTAGGTAAAAGCATTCTGAACTATGTTGCTAGCACCATGGAATCATGGGAGTCCTTGAAAGAGGAGGCACAAACTCAGAAAAAGTGATGAGATTTCAGGGGGTAAAAAGTCCATGTGGTATGCAGTCATGTTAGGGGTCTGGAGAGCTGGCAGAAGCACAGGAACAGATTGTCCCCTGGAGCCAGTCTAAGGAACCACACCTACCGCCACCTTGACTTTGGACAGTATGTATTTTACCTACATACATGAAAGGACACAACTCCATATTGTTTCAGACCTCTGACTTTGTAGTCATGTGTCAAAGCAACAACAGAAACGGATACATACTTTGGTTTCTTGAAGCACGGTAATATTTATAACAAACACCTTAAAGTGTTGAAGTGGTCTAGAGATTAGTTACTGAAGAAATTAAGAGGTCATGGTAGGAGCTTCCACATGGAAGCTGGGGGTGGGTCGGTGGGGAGAACAGTGCTAAAAAGCGGGAAAGAAGAATAATCTTAACAAGGGTTAAATGGGGTTGAGAGTGGGAGAGCAGGATAGAGGGAACACAGGACAACTAACATCAAAGACCTTCTTGTTGTGGAATATTAGTTGAAGATGTGTTACATTCATTTATGCTGTGAAATACTTGTTTAATGATGCAAAGATGTGTTGCATTCTTTTATGTTGCATTTGTTTAACTCTGTAAAGCTGTGTTATTTTGCCTGTCTAAAACACCTGATTGGTCTAATAAAGAGCTAAACAGCCAATAGCTGGGCAGGAGAGAGGGAAAAGTGGGGTTGCCAGGCAGAGAGAATAAGTAGGAAGAGAAATCTAGGCTTAAAAAAAGGGCATAAAGAAAAGGAGAAGGAGAGGAAGATGCCAGGGGCTAGCTACCTAGACACACAGCCAGCCATTGAGTAAGAAGGAAAAAACGATATATAAAATAAAGAAATGTAAAAAGCCCAGAGGCAAAATTTAGTTAAAGAGAAATGGGATAATTTAAGTTAGAAAAACTGGCTAGAAACAAGCCAAGATAAGGCCAGGTATTCATAAGTGAGAATAAGTTCTGTATTTATTTGGGAGCTGGGTGGAGGCCTCCAAAGAGTTAAAAAAAAAAAACCAACTAAACCTTCTTAAATACTTACATGAGAAAACAGCTACTGTAGAAGATTTGCTCTTAATTAGGGTTTCTACTGCTGTGATAAAATACCAAGACCTTCCAGGAGCACTCAGGTGGTCAAGGCAGGTGAATCTCTGTAAGTTTGAGGCCAGCCTGGTCTACAAAGCGAGGTCCAGGACAACAAGGGCTATACGGTGAAACCCTGTCTCCAAAACAAATGAGCAAACAAAGAAATGAACAAAAAACCTCCCAAAACAAAACAAAAAACCCCACCACTAAGACCTAAAGTAACTTTGGAAGAAAAGGATTTATTTCATCTAACAACTCTCAGATCATACTCCATCAATGAGGGGAAGTCAGGGCAGAAACTCAAGGCAGGAACCTGGAGGTAGGCACTGAAGCAGAAACCATGTAGGAATGATGTTTACTCACTTGCTCAGCCTACATTTGTATACACTCCAGGACTACCTACCCAAAGATGGCACTGCCCACAGTGGATAAGACCCTCTCACATCAATCACTTATGATAATAATAATACCCTACAGACCTGCCTACAGGCTAATCTTATGGAGTATTTTCTCAATTAGGATTCCTTCTTTTCAGATATATTTAGGTTTGTATCAAGATGAAAAAAATTTATATATATATATATATATATATATATATAGAGAGAGAGAGAGAGAGAGAGACAGAGACAGAGACAGAGACAGAGACAGACAGACAGAGGGAAGGAGGGAGAGAGAGAGGGAAAGAGAGAGAGAGAGAGAGAGAGAGAGAGAGAGAGAGAGAGAGAGAGAGAGAGAGAGATTAAGTGGAGTTACTTTCTAACAGGACAATAATGTCCCTAGAATACACCATAGTCTAACAAATTAAAAGCCCAATGTCAGGAATGGGTTACCTCTTCTGGAGCTGTTGGTCTGTAAGGTCCCATAGACCATCACATATTACAGGCCTTTGCCATTGCATTTAGTAACCATTCCAAGTCCTGTTGCTGAAGACACACTGAACTATAGAGTACTAGAATATGGAGAAATGAATCTTGTACAGCTCTGGAAGCTTTATCCCTAATGACTAGCTTTCATAGTGTTATGTTGTGTTATGCACACTACTGGATGAAATATTCAGATATGAAATCCAGGAGCTACAATAACAACCTGCCCATCTAGATGAGACCACCAGTGCTATAATGCCATAAATAACGAGCAATATTTGATTAGATTTAAGGCCTGCTCTACAGGATGGAGCCCATATCTGGCACTGTTATAAGAGCTAAAAACCCTGTGGCTAGACAGGACACAGGACCTAGGGAATAATTACAACTTCTCCACTCAAAGGACACGATATTAAAATAACTCCTAATGACTTATCATTATACCCACCTATTAGTATATCTCTGAAACCTCATTAGAGAAGCTTTTGATTGTTTTCAATAGATGGTGACGGACAACTGTCAAGGTGAAGAGAATAAAATAGTCGAGTGCTTATACCTAAATGAGGCATCTATAACACACTTTTCTCCTTCCAAGTCTCAGAGGGATCATTGCAAAAGAGGGAGTGGACAGACTGTAAAAGCCATAGGCGGTGGATGACTGCAACAAAACAATTCCTTCTGGACACAATAGAGCAGGTACACACAAGAACTCTCAGAAATTGGGGCAAGACCAATACAAGTTCAAGCCAAACAATGTCCCAGTACAGAGTGGGGGATTGATTATCAAGTCCCCAGCTGAGAAGTTATTGGTAGAGAGCTGGAGGAAGAAGGAGAATTAGCTTTCTTCAAGGGTGTGCCATCTGGTAGGTGGAATAACACAATGGATGCCCACAAAACCAGCACTAATTAGACTGTTTTAGTTTATTTACATTTTATTTTTTTTACTGAGAACACAAAGTTGAGAGGGTATAGAATGAGTGGTGGATTTGGGAAGAACTGGGAGAGGAAGTGAATATGATCAAAATATAATTATGAAATTCTTAATAAAAACATGTATTAAACTTATTTTAAAAGGAAGAGTTTATTTTGGTTTAAAGATCCAGAGGATATAGCCCACTATGGCAGGGAAGAAACAGCAGAAGAAGCAAAAGACAGATGGCCATAATCAGCAAGTCCATAGTCAGGGAAGGGAGAGTATGGGTGCTTGTGCAGAATTCCTTCTCCTTCTAATTCAGGCAGGACTCCAGCTCTTTGAATGGCACTGGCTACATGTAGGGTAGGTTTTCTGATCTTGACCTATGTCTCAGTTAGAGTTTCTATTGCTGTGAAGAGACACCATCACCACAGCAACTCTTATACAGGAAAACATTTAATTCAGGCTGGCTTAGAGTTTCAGAGGTTTAGTCTGATATCTCCATGGTGGCATGCAGACAGACTTGGTGCTGGAGAAGGAGTTGAGAGTTCTACATCTTGATCCGCATGCAGCACAAGCAACTGTGTCATTGGGCATGGCTTGAGCATGGCACCACAAAGCCTGGCTTCACAGTGACACATTTCCTCCAATAAAGCCATACATCCTAATAGTGCCATTCTCCCTACGGACCAAGCACTTAAACACCTGAGTCTATGCAGCCATACCTATTCAAACCATCACAACTTAAAGAAATACCCACAGATTTGTTTCCATGATGACCTCAAAACCCATCAAGTTGACGGTAAAGATTGTCACCCCGATTTTTACAATATTATTTAAAAATTCAAGTTTTCAAGTAGAAGATCCTCCTGTATTTTCATGACCATTTTTATCAACATTATCCTAATTCTTACAATTGTCCTACCTGAAACTTGACTGTCTGATTGATGTCTGACAGGTGGAACTGCTTCAGGAAGCGCTCATCCTCACTCCAGAAGAGGCGGATGTCAGGGATATCGTAGAGGATCATAGCCAGTCTTTCTAACCCCAGGCCAAAAGCCCAGCCAACTTGATCTTGAGCACCAGCTGTGATGAGAAACAAAGGAAAAGTCTGTTTAGGAAAGCACCAAGATCACACAGATGCCTGGTGTACTCAGATGAAGACTGGCAATGCCTCTTAGTGGCAGGGCTGAAGAGTACTATGGACTCATCTAAGACAATGTTCAATCGTACTTTTTCCTTTATTCCACACTTATATCCCCAGGAAGCCTTCTGGGATCATACTAGCTGGGGGAGTCTTTAACTTCTCAATAAAGGTCAAAGGGGAGGTTTGTTTATCCATGTTTCTCCTCCCTTCTTCCCTCCCTCCCACACCCTCTATGTATGTGAGAATACATTTGGGTGCATTTGTGTGTAAAGGTGAATGTGTTTCTGTTGAGGCCAGAGATCAACAACAGGTACCTTTCTTAGTCCCTTTTGTACCTTATTTTTTAAAGATTTATTTATTTTTATTTTATGTGTATGGCTGTCTTGCCTGCATGTATGTCTGTGCACTACATGCATATAGTGCTCACAGAGGCTGAAAGAGAGCATTGGAGCCTCTGGACCTGGAGCTCCAGGTGGTTGTGAGCTGCCAGATGGGTGCTGGGACCTGACCCTGGGTCCTCTGCAGGAATAAAAAGTGTTCTTAACCATTGCCAGCCTCTATACCTTATTTTGGAAATAGAGTCTCTTAATGAACCTAAAACCCACTGATTCAGTGAGACTGGCTGGCCAGGAAGTCCCAGAGATCCTCCTGTCTTCATTTTCCCAGCATTGGGATGACAAGCATTCGCTGTCACGCCTGGTTTTTCACTTAAGTGCTGGGGATCCAAAGTCAGGTCCTCATGCTAGCATAGCAAATACTTTACCAACAGAGTCATCACCCCAGCTCCATGTCCAAGCCCTGGCTCCTACCTCTGAATTAGGATTTTCTGTAATCTGTGTTTGCTCTGATTCAAACATTAAGTACCCTATATGCAGACCTTAAGAGAAAGGAAGACAAGATCTCTCCCTAAGTAATTTATTATACAGAGAGAAGTCTTCACAATGTGCCACAGCAGATGGCTGACATTCAGAAAACAGTATCAGGCCTTTAAGAACTGGTCACATGCCCCCATCCCTAACCCAGAAGCTATTGCCAATTGATAACCACTTGCAAATGAAAATTTAGTTTTCTCCAAGGGAGTCTCGCTAGGGAAACAAATTACTCCTAAGGGTGGACTGCATGCCAAGCAGTAGATGGTACAGAAAATTAACTCAATGGCATCTTTGTAGATTCCTTGTCTCATAATGTCATATCAAGGCTTTTTTTTTTCATTAATTCTCTCTCATTCTCTCCCTCTCCCTCCCTCTCTCAATCATAGAGGTCCATTGCATATATATTATGTCTTCTGGTGTTATGTTTTTATGGCTTTCCCGAGTGTACGAATGAGTGAGTCTCTGCATCTACATTTGTTTCTTGTGCCGTTTCTTGGGGTCTCTTTTTGTTTGTTTGTTTTCGTTTTATATTATACTATATCATGTCATATCATATTATAATTCCTTAGAAAACTGATTGTTTTTTAATGAGAGACAGAAAGGGGGTGGATTTGTATGAGACGGGAGGTGGGGAGGAACTGGGAGGAAGAGAGGGCAGGGAAACTGTAATTAGGGTATGTTATATGAAAAAAACTCAATAAAAACTTCACCTTTTTAAAAATATCATATTTTTATCCTTCATAAGCTATCTCAAGAATGTGGGGAGAGCAAGCAAGCAGCTGGGAAATGTGTATCCAAAAGCATTTATTCCAAAGGTAACGTGTCCTGTTCAGATTATGATACAGCCATGAATTTTAAGGCTGTATTTCACAGATATGAGGCAAAATAAAAAAATGATAAAAAGTAAATGATATAAAGTGCTGTGTGGAGGAAGGCATGGGAGCCCTTCATACATCTAGAAAAGCTTATATAAAGAGCTCATAAAAGGAATGCCATTCCAAGTGAATACCAGTGATGAACAGGGTCCCATGGCAGTCAGAGGTGGCCCCAAGACCCCCACCTCCATGTACATGTCCTAAAGAAAGCCTTCCCTGAGTGTGGTAAGGCCCCATAAAGGACGAGATTTCATGCCTGTGATTAGCCTGTTTTATGTAAGACAGCCATATGGTCTTTAAAGCTTCAAGGATCTGCCAGAGGAAATGAGAACCTCATTCCTATTATCCTAAGGAACAAATTACTCCAATACCCTGGTGTGCTGAGAAGTTGGCTTCTCAACTCCAGATGAGTTTTCTGCCAATGCCTATTCCAACATGATTATAGTCTTCATCGTCTGGCCAAAAGGCTTTGTCGAGGGGATGGAGAGATGTCTCAGTGGCTAACTGCATGTACCGTCTTTGTAGAGGACCGCAGTTTGATTCCCAGCACCCACATTAGGCAACTCACAACCCTATAACATTAAGGGAATCTGACAGCTCTATCCTCCCCAGACATCTGTAATCACCCCCGCCCCCTCCCCCCCCACACACACCTTCTTTTCAAAAAATATAAAAGCTTGCTTATGTTGTGACACCCAATCATCATGGAAGGTTTCAAGGAAGAGCATGGTTTGTTGAGCTGTAACAAATTTCATTTATAAAACACTTTCTTTTGGTCCCATCTAGACTTATATCTGAAATACACTCAGCACTATATCATGGTTCATTAAATTATTAAGACAATGCCAGGAATGTCTGTTAGGTATACTGGTTACCAAACATAGTCTTCTACAAGAGGCTTTAGGAAATAAATAGATCTCAGATCTAAGAAAATTCCTGTGAGTCTTAAGAACAGAAAAGGCTTCCTCCAGAACAACTGGGCTGTTTTTAACTTTGAGGATGCCATGCATTACATAATTGGTCATAATAATTCACTTTTTATTTCACCCTCTTGGAAACTTAGAGCCAAACACATACATCCACTCAACAACTGAAAAAAATACCCAGGATGTAAGTCTATGTGACTTCTACCCCAGTTTTATTTTCATATCCTGATTTCTATGTTGCCCTGACTATTTCAACTATTTGTTTTATCCTCTTCTATGTGTTTTACAAGGTGCTTCAAATTATTTGTGGAAGAGAGCAAGCCATAAATAAACAACCCTGAAAACCAGTGTCAGTTGAAGTGGGGACAATCTTGGGCTCTTTGGCATACTGAACAGGTGTTCAAGGTGGGACAGAGCTTACAGTAGGATTCCCCCTCATTCTAGAATCATAGACTGCAGGAAGACAGAGTCACCAGAAGAGAGAACTCAATGCAGATGGGGCATCCTCACCAACAGAACCCTTGCACTGAGAGGCACCCAGGCATTCTAATAAATGCTATTCTGCAATGACTGAACATCCTATGAAAGGATGTTTTCATATTTTCATTGTTGCTGAACATCTTTACAAGAAGGCCAGTCACGCAGGAGAGGAAAAGTGTGGGAGTCCCAAGAAGGGGAAGTTAAGGAAAGAGAGGAAGAGTAGGAGCTAGGCAATAGAAGAGAAGACAGAAAGATATGACCACTGTGGAAGTAGAGAAACAAAATTGATCTTAAGCTTTTAGATGATTCTAACCCATGGATGAGCCTATGAGATGGCTGGCCCTCCAGGCCCTTGCCTCTACAGCTACTGAGAAGAAGGGATTGAAATACTACCTAGTGCCTATTAGAAGATGATACTTCAGGAGCAGATTTCCCTCCAGAGATTACAACATAAAAACAAAGATTATAAAACTAAGGATAAATTTTAAAGTAAAATATAATTCCAGGGTAGAGGAAGCTAGAAAAAGTGCACAAACTGATACTCCCACTGAACAGTGGGAGATTGCTCCCTTCTTTCCTCAGAAGCAGAGAGGTACTTTACTCTTTCATCTACAATTCTTCATCAATGGCCTATTTAACCCTGGGAGACAGAATAAAATCTTCATTAGGGATATAATTTAGGTCTAAAGAATGGCTCAGTGGGGCATGGGCTGATTTTCCAGAGGCTCTGAATTTGGATCTCAGTAACCATACCCCACACCCAGCAGCTCACACTATCTGTAATACAGCTCCAGGAGATACAGAGCCCTCTTCTGCCTCTGTGGGCATCTTTACTCACATGCACCTGGCAGCCACATAGTCACATACATACACACAAATAAAGATAAATCTTTCAAAAACTATAATTACTAAAGCTTTCATGGTCTCCTTTTATAGTTTTGCATTCTTAGCCCTTGCCATCCTAACAAATGGTGGTATGCATTCTTGGCTCCTTAAAAAAAAAGTAAAGGAATTCCCAGAAAACAATTTCTTCAGCAGTTATAACATAGGAGTAAAAATTCATTAAAACTAAAGATAATAGAGTTTTAAAGTAAAGTAAAATTTCAGAGGGGCATGCTAGTAAATAAACACACACACACACACACACACACACACACACACACACACACACACACACACACACACCAATAGCCCTTACGAACACAAATGCATAAATCCTCAGCAAATTACTAGCAAACTAAATTCAGCAGCATATTAAAAGGATTATACACCATGATCAAATGGGATTTGTGCAGGAATGCATGTTAAGGGTAATTCAAAATATAAGACTATGAAAGTAATATAGCCAGCTAGTAGAAAAACGCAGGGAAATGCACACTATTACCATAATTAATGCCAAAAAGCACTCGATAAAATGCAACACTCTTTCATGATTAAATAGATTTCCAATAATTAGATCACAATGGAATTTCCTCCACATGAAAAAGATTGTGCATGAATAACTCATAGCTGACATCACATTGAGTCATGAAGAAGCGACAGGGTGCTAGTTACCCCACTTCTACTCACATAGTACTGACAGTTCCAAACAGAAAAAGTAGGCAAGAAGAAGAGATAAAAGACACCCATTTGGAAATTATAAAACATAATTATCTATTTATAGATGACACAATTTTCTGTGTAGAAAACTTTAATGAGTCCATGAAAAACATGAACTTACAAATTTAGAAAAGTTGAGTAATACATAACCAAAATTGCAAAAATATATAATCAAATTGCAAAAATC